CCCTCTGCCACCCGGGAGCAGGCCTAAGCCAGCAGGTCGTTATCTCCCGAGGGGTCCCAGACTGCAAGAGGGCACAGGCCGGTCTGAGGGACCCCCCCCCTTCCCCCGAGTGCACAAATTTTTGTGCAACAGGCCTCTAGTCCTATATAATAAAAGGCTAATATGCAAATCAACTGAATGGCAGAATGATCAGTTGCTATGACACACACTGACCACCAGGGGGCAGATGCTCAGGAGCGCCACTCAGCCAGAAGCTGGGCTCACTGCTGGCGAGCTCAGCGGCGGTGGCGAGAGCCTCTCCCGCCTCCTCGGTAGTGCTAAGGATGTCTGACTGCCAGCTTAGGCCTGCTCCCTGCAGAGAGCAGGCCTAAGCCATCAGTTGGACATCTCCGGAGGGCTCCCAGCCTGCGAGAGGGTGCAGGCCAGGCTGAGGAACCCCCTTAATGCATGAATTTTGTGCACCAGGCCTCTAGTTTTGATATAATAGGAGTGCAAATATTCATTTCAGGATGTTTAAAAATGTCATAGCACTATAGGAAGCATATTTCCTTTCAAGTGGTCAGTAATAAAAAAAAAGTTTTAAAAAATCCTTGTAGAAGTTATAAAGTTATTCTGATATCATGTATGTGTGCCTTGTTGTTAAGATGCCTTTTCTCTATACCCTGTAGTCTACCATTTGTAAACACATCTTTCTGATGTTTCTGCCAACATCCTGGCAAAATAGCAGTGCAATTTCAAGTGAGCTAATTAACTTAATTGTTGATGAAGCATGAAACAGTTCATTCACCCTGTTAGCTGCTCCATGACAACATAAGAGTCTCAGCCTGTGAAGTTACTCATCTCCATAAATCTATCTGCAGCTCTGTTTAGAACTCATACACTGGAATTGTGCATGGAAAATGGTCATGAAAAATGCATATTCTCATTTGAAAAAGAACCTTTTAAAAAGTAAATAATAAATTGTCACTGTATGAAAAAAGTAAAGATATTTCAAATTTTAATTTTAAGCTAGAGAAGCCATACAAACCATCATACATACATACAACTATGTACGTTTCTTTATGATGTTGGGGACAACAAGTGTCAATTTTAGATCCTTTTAACTTTCAGGTTTTTATTTTTATATACATTTGTTAAATATACATCTTAAATATTATTATTTAAGTTAAGAAATATAAAGTTTGCAATGAAAAGATAAACCTATAAAATGAATATGTTTAAAATACACATACATAATATGACTTCTCATATAGTTCTACTTGAAATTTTTATTAAAAGCTGAAATTTTAGTGAACCCTGCAGGCAGATGTCCCAATTATTAATGATGCTGTTATAGTAGGCTAATATTTTTCATTCATTCAAAAACCTCTATTGGCCCTCGCTGGTTTTGCTCAGTGGATAGAGTGTCAACCTGTGGACTGAAGGGTCCTGGGTTTGATTCCAGTCAAGGTCACATACCTTGGTTGCAGGCTCCTCCCCAGCCCAGGTCCTGGTTTGGTGTGCAGGAGGCAACCTAGTGATGTGTTTCTCTCACATCGATATTCCTCTCTGTCTTTCTCTCTCTCTTCCACTCTCTCTAAAAATCAATGGGAAAATATCCTTGGGTGAGGATTAAAAAGAACAAAAAGAAATAAAATAAAATGAAATGAAAGGAAAGGAAAGGAAAGGAAAGGAAAGGAAAGGAAAGGAAAGGAAAAAAAAACTCTATTGAATGATTTGTAAATTTTCTCATGGAAAGAAAAGATGAACAGTTAAACTTCTTCATCGGACTTTGCTGATCCACTTGCTAAAACAAAGAAAACTTCATATCCCTCATGATGGTCCTTTGTTTATGTAAAACAATGTGCCTATAACTCCCATTAACCCACTTTCACCCCTAAAAACAGTTAAATACATACTTTAAAAACTGTCCAAAATCTTCACAAATGCTTTCACAGCCTGGCCATTTGCAAACTCCATGGCCATAGAGAGTGTGAGAGGCTCCAGTCTCCTCATGGGATGAGCTGTAGCAGAGGAACAGGCATCAGATTCATCTCAAAAAGCCATAATCGTTGCAGACTGCTCGAGCCTGTCAGGTTACACCCAGTGACAAACAGGTCAAAACAGGTCAATTCAGCTCAGAGCACTCAGCAAAATTTAATCGTTCTACTGAATAGTTCAACTGCCAAGGCTAGATGATGTTCCAATTAGATGGGAAATAGAACCAAAGACAACTGTTAATAAAGGATGAAAAACCGAGAGGACTGCATAATATCATATGCTAATCCTGCCATATGACCTTAATGTAACATTTACCACTAAAGAAGTATATATATTTATTCATATGTGGTCAAGTGGGGAAAAAAACCACCTGTATTTTTAAGGGAATAATAAGATTTTTGAAATACTCTTTTTAAAGAAGAGCATTAGGACATTTAAAGTGTTCAATATATACGTGTGAATCATATATATGTCTACTAGTAACAGTTGATTTAAAAAATGCTACTTAGATATGTATTATATCAGATAGAGAGATCCGAGAGCAGTGGTTCTCAACATTCCAAATGCTGCGACCCTTTAATACAGTTCCTCATGTTGTGGTGACCCCCAACCATAAAATTATTTTTGTTGCAACTTCATAACTGTAATTTTGCTACTGTTATGAATCGTAATGTAAATATCTGATATGCAGGATGTATTTTCATTGTTACAAATTGAACATAATTAAAGCATAGTGATTCATCACAAAAACAATATGTAATTATATATGTGTTTTCCGATGGTCTTAGGCAACCCTTGTGAAAGGGTCATTCGACCCCCAAAAGGGTCGCGACCCACAGGTTGAGAACCGCTGTCCTAGAGAGATCAACCAACTTCTGAAATATACAATCAACAAATTAATCTCAATTAAAATAAGTGTGTGGCAGCCCTCTTGGCACAGTGGGCAGTATGTCAGTCTCATAAAATAAGTGTGAAAGCATTCTGAGGAATATCATTTTATATTAATGCAAGCTAACAAGAAAAAGTTTTCACAATACTCAAAAACATCGCCAAATGATAACATTCTATTTTAAACTTACTGTAATTAAATGTGTCTTTGAAAAAAAATATATTTTTATAAAAAAACTAGGGGTCCAGTGCACAAATTCGTGCACCTTGAAATGAACTGTGGGCACAGGGGCAGGTCTCGGCCCATCCCCTGCACCCCCACCTAGCCCCTCCCTCCACATCCCCGGTCACCTGTCCATGGGTAGCCCTGCTCCCACCACGACCACTCCCATGCACTGACAGTGCTGGCCCCACTCGCACCCATCGAAGGTGCGATTGGGGCCAGTGCCGGCAGCAGGTGCAAGCGGGGCTGGTGCTGTCAGTGGGTGTGAGTGGCAGCTGCTGCCCCAATCACCCTTCAGGAACAGGAAGAGGTGGAGAAGCTCTCAGGAGCAATCAGGCTGGCAGCTGCCGCTTGCACCCACTGATGGCGCCAAGTGATTGGGACTGGCAGTGGGTGAGAGCGGTGGCTCTGGCACTGGCAGTGGGTGTAGGCAGGGCTGTCGCTGGAAGCAGGTGCGAGATGTGGCTGCTGGCTCTGATCTCCCCTCAGGAGCAGGGGGAGGTGGAGAAGCCCTGAGGGGCAATTGGGGCCAGCAGCCACCACTTGTACCTGCTGACAGTACTAAGTGATTGGGGCCGGCACCAGGTGCCAGCAGTGGGTGTGAACGGTGGCTCCAGTGCCAGCAGCAGGTGCAAGTGCTGGGTAGGACTATGGCATGCGGGAGCAAAGAATTTTCAGTAACCACCAGAGGCACTCCCTGATGACAGCAACTGGTGCCCCGCCTTGGTTTGGAGCCCCCACTCACCTGCTCCACCTGCGGCCAGCACCCGCCATGTTCTGCACATGCCCCCTGGTGGTCAGTGCACGTCATAGCGACTGGTTGTTTGGTTGTTCCACCGTTTGGTCTATTTGCATATTAACCTTTTATTATATAGGATATCTGTTGCAGCTAGGCAGATATTTGTATTCTATTAAACAACACTATCATTATACTACACTTAAATTTGAAAACTATATATCATATACGCCTCAGTCACTTTAAGAAATCTTACACTTACGTTTCACCTTTTAAAAAGATACTTTTCATGTTGATAAATATTTTAGCTTACATATTTCAAGTAAATTACTTTAAAGGCCTTGAATAGGTGTGCATATCCCTGAATAAATGGAACTAAGTGGACAAAAGTGAATGGGTACTTCTCTTACAAAGGCAGTCTTTATACAACTAAAATAAAATGGTAACTTTAAAAATTATTTTATATAATAAAAGCCTAATATGCTAAGTGTCCGGTTGACCTGTTGGCTGTTCAATCAATCAAAGCATAATGTGCTAATGATATGATAAGGCCGCTCAACTGCTCGCTATGATGTGCACTGACCACCAGGGGACAGATAGTCGACCCGTTGACTAGTCACTATGATGTGCACTGACCACCAGGGGGCAGACACTTCGACTGTTTGACCAGTCGCTATGATGTTCACTGACCACTAGTGGGCAGATGCTACAACCGGTAGGTTAGTTTGCTGCTGGGATCCGGTCAATCAGGACTGAGCAAGATGGACCAGAAACGCCCTGGAGCCTTCCCACAGTCCTTCCCCGGCCCCGATCGTGCATCAGTGGGGTCCCTTGGCCTGGCCTGAGCCCTCACACAATCAGGGACCCCTTGGGGGATGTCAGAGAGCTGGTTTCGGCCTGATCCTGCAGGTCAGGCTAAGGGACCCCACTGGTGCACCAGGACTCTAGCCTATATAATAAAAGCCTAAGCGACCGTTGCAGCAGAAGGACCAGAATGACTGGTCCCTATGATGCACACTGACCACCAGGGGGCAGATGCTCAATGCAGGAGCTGCCCCCTGTTTTTCAGTGTTCTTCCACAGAGGGAGCGCCGCTCAGCCAGAAGCCGGGCTCATGGTTGGCGAGCACAGCTGCCATGGTGGGAGCCTCTCCCAACTCCATGGCAGCAGGCGCAGTGGCCGGGATGGGTGCAAGCGACACCTGGACCCGATTCAGGCTCCTCCCTGGCCACCTGCTGCTTGGCACACTGCTACATCCCTCAGGGGGTGTCCGACTGCCAGTTTAGGCAATCAGACATCCCCCAGGGGTCCTGGACTGTGAGAGGGCACAGGCTGGGCTGACAGACACCCCGCCTCCCCCCGTGCATGAATTTTATGCACTGGGCCTCTAGTCTAACATAATGTAATTAATGTTGGTAACTTAAAATAATTTTTAACTTACAAATTTTGAGTCAAATTTATTCAGAACATTATCAGCATAAGTTTATTTTTACATATTTGTAAAGCCCATCATGTATATATATATGATGTGTGAAACTGGTTAAGTTAAAAAATGGTAAAATGTTCTGATGGAATTCAGGTTAATAACAACATCTTAGTAATAAAATATATCAACAGGATAATTCCACATGCACTTATTAAAAATAACTTTTTTCAGGTAAACTACCACTGTAGCTATAAAACTGTTAGTATTTAAACTGCTTTTTGAAATAAAAAAATATGTAAGATAAATAATCTAAAGGTTTCCATTTAATGTGCTGTTTTATACATTTTCCCTTTGTTAGCACAAATCATAATTTTTAGTTTTAATCGACGGCGACAGTAAAATTTGGTGAAAGATAAATTTAAGAGAAATCTCATGAGATTTACCTGTCCCGCCTTGTGTTTAGGACTGAAGACTGTCCGTTCACTATGGAGTGATGCGTGATTGGTGGTGAGGCTTTGGAAGTGGTGGGGGAGGTAGTCAAGGAGGAGTTGTTAGTAGTGAGGTCGAGCCCTCCATGTTTGATGCCATTGTCTTCCATGCTGTGAACTCCAGTCACTTCTTTCCATAACTGCTGAATCTCAGCAGGACTCAGGCCAGCTATAAAATGGGGAAAAGCCACAGGTAAAGTTCACCTAATGAGATTAGTGTTATTTTTGGATTGATGTCAATAATAAAAGTAATATTACAGCATAATTAATATACAAAAATAAATGAATTTACACCATCAGCACCACAGCTTTTCTCTTAAATAATCAGTTATTTGCTAAAGACTACCAATTTGGGAATAGTACTGAGAATAATAGTATTCAGAATAATACTAAAGATCAATAGAAAAACAATCCAGCAAATTCTATTTGAAGATTATTCAACTTCTACCAGATTTTACTTATTGCTAGCTACTATTAAGTTTTATTAGTGAGGAAGTGAAAGAGAAATAGATTTGTAAAAAGACATATCAAAAGAAATGAATGAAAAGAAAAACTGATCTTATGAAGGTTAACAAAAGTGTCAGAGAAAAATAGTAAACACTAAATTCAAAATAAAACTATCCTATCTAATAAAAGCCTCATATGCTAAGTGTCTGGTCAGCTGGTCGGCCGTTCAACCAATCAAAGCATAATATGCTAATCATATGCTAAGGCAGCTCAACTGGTCGACCAGTCATTATGATGTGCACTGGAGGCAGATGCTCCAACAGATATGTTAGCTTGCTGCTGGGGTCTGGCTGATTGGGATTGAGAGTGACAGGCCAGACATGCCCTGGAGCCCTCCCACAGTCCCTCCAAGCTGGACAACCTCCTGGGTTCCTTCCCGGTCCTGATCATGCACTGGTGGGGTCCCTCAGGCTGGCCTGCACCCTCTCGCAATCTAGGGCCCCTTGGGGGATGTTGGAGAGCCGGTTTCGGCCCAATCCCACAGGTCAGGCTGAGGGACCCCACTGGTGCACAAATTTGTGCACGGGTCTCTAGTATTTTATAATTATCATTTTGAAGTCCTGAATAAGACAATATGCTTATTATAGGAATCAATTAAGCAGATAATATCTAACCATTCCTTTTACTTTATGACTGATAGAATAAGTCCACTACTCATTGTAACAACTCCCTGGTTAAGATTATACAAACTAACCTAATTTATGAAGAATGAAAATATAAGACCTAGGCACAATCCTTGCACTTTTATCTATAATTTTCAAACAAGTAATTGAAACACTATTGTTTATAATATTTAACTTATAAAATAATACTTATATCTTCCAGGTACTGTGCTTTCATTTAGTCTTTATATACCTTACTACAGGTCCAGTGCACAGATCCGTGCATCAGTGGAGTCCCTCGGGCTAGCCTGTGGGGGTCAGTGGACCTCTGCGCCACTGCAGCCCGGCCTATCCACCATCTTGTTGGGCTCCAGCCCTCTGTCCACATCCATCGAAGTAGTGCAGGAAGTGGCAGGCAACTGGAGAGGAGCCTGAGCCAGGGATGAGTGCCCCGTAGCTGCTGCTCATCCTGGCCCCGCTGCACCTGCCGCTACTGCTTAGGTATAGTGGGGGAGTGTGCGCCAGAGAGGTTCGTGCTGCCACAGCTGTGCTCACCAGCTGTGAGCCCAGCATCTGGTGGCCGTCTGTCAACTGAGCAGCGCTCCCATAGTGGGATCGCACTGACCACCAGGAGTCAGCTCCTGCATTGAGTGTCTGCCCCCTGGTGGTCAGTGCATGCCATAGCTACTGTCCAGTCATCCGGTTGTCTGGTCGTCTTGTCGCGTAGGCGTTTATATATAGAGATGCTCTTTAATCCTCACTACAATCCAATAGAGTTGCTATTTTTTCAAACATTTCTTCATTAAATTTATTGGCGTGACTTTGGTTATCAAAATTATATAGGTTTCAAGTGTATGGTTGTATGATACATCACGTGTATATTTCATTGTGTGTTTACCACCCAAAGTCAAATCTCCCGTCACCATATATTTGACTTCGTTTACCCTAATATTTTTTATTTTAACCAATTATGGATGAGGAAGCAAAGTAGAAGCAAGGTTCAAAAATATATACAAAGCCACAAATCTTATATGCAGTATAAGGTAGCCTGACACGAATGTCTTTGCTCTTAAAATATTATATTAAATATATGAAAACTTCTGGGAAAATGTAGTTGTTATAAATTATTGTTTATTGAGTATCAACTGTATTCTAGTGATTTACATTCATAATCACAATTAACCTCATTTAAAGTTAGAAATCTTTACATTTTACAGATGAGGAGGTAGAGGTTCGTATCAATGAAATATGTTGCCCTAAATCATGAAGCTCAGAATTAGTGGACAGAATTTAAACCTACGGCTCCTAAATCTTTGTGTTTTTTGTTTTGTTTTGTTTTTTGGTTGTTTTTTTTTACTGTGTTTATCTACAATGTCTAATAGAAAAATGGAAGTGCTAATCAAACCACTTCCCCTCTCCCGTGACCCAAAAAGCATGTACATCAGATGATACAGTGATGCTGATTGACCAAGAGGTATGTGGGCATGAGTGGGATGGAAAAGGTAGGGGAGAGTAGAGAAAGGTAACAGAATAGGATGGAGAGGAGAGTTAGTCCTCTCACTCCTCCCCCTGCAGGTGGAAGAATCATTGATCTAGCCATAGTGGTAAGTAGATCAAAGTAACAGAAGAATTCTTACTGCTCCAACCATAACTTCTGGTTAAATTACTCATACAGTGACAATCTTAAATTGTTTATGCCCACCACTGTAAGTTTTACTGAAAGTTATTATTTTGGTGATTCTGGATTCTCATGATTGAAAGAGTAAAGAAAAAATAGGATAATTCAGATTTCCAAAGTTGTTAAAAAAAATACCAGTTTTCTTCTATAAAAAAAGAATGGCTTAATAAAGTAAAGTATTTCTATTACATAGAAAAGATTTATATACAATGAGCATTAATTCTAGCTTTAATTCTAGCTTCAACCATGGATTATAAAACCCTTCTGATTGTAACTTTTTGATTACCTGCCTCTATGTGTTAGCTGTCCTAAAGGCCAAACTCCATTAGCAAATCCTTTTGTGTGATAGCATCACACACTACATCACTTCAGCATCAAAACTCCCAGTATCTCACTTGCTACCTCTCTGCTTCACCGTCAGCCATTGCCTGGACCACTGCGGTAGCTTCCTGTCTTCCTGCTTTTACCTTGCTTTCGTATAATTTACTCTTCATATATCAGCCCAAATTTATCTCTTTAAATGTAAATTGTGCCATAGCACTTCCCAGGCTTTCCGGAACACTTAGAAAAGCAACACCTGACGATGGCTTATGAGGTGCTGGCATTTATCACCTGGCTCTTGCCTGCCTCTCTGACCTCGTCTCTTTCTCTACATTTCATGCTGTTATATTTCTGCTGCTACTCAAAGGGATCACCTGCTACCTTACCAGCTATTGCCCTGGCTGTTCCCACAACCTGGGCCACCCTGGTTGCAGATGGTCCATGGCTTTCTCCCTCCCTTCACTTAGATGGTTCAAGCATCACCTCCCCTCAGAGGTTTACCACACACTCAACCGCTGCTACTCTCCACCCTGTTTTCTATCATTCTCTATGACCTTATCCACCTGATTTTTTAAAGGTTTATCAGTCTCTGAAACTATATTACTTTTATAAACTTATCATCATTCTCCTTCCATTACAATTTAGGCTGTATAGGAATTTCTTATTTTACCAGTATATCCCCAGTGCCTAGAACAGTGCCTGGGATGTGCCCAATAATCAGCTGTTGATACCATTGATTTTATCAAATTCATACAGTTCTTGAAAACACCTTGGTTTCCACATGGAGGTTCCGTGGCTCTTAAAGGGCACACTATTTATGAGATTGCTCCTCTCTAAGGCCAATGTCTAGTGAATTATAAATGCTAGTAGCCGATTCTAACAAATTAAGTGGCTAATAAAATTTCATTATCTTGGCTAAAGGACTCTTAGATATTTTTAGAGACTATATTAGTGAATGATGTTATTAATAATTTTGTTTTTGGATTTTATTAATAATTTAGTTAACCTAAGTATCCACTTACTTTTAAAAGCAGATTTCCATTATACTAGTCACTTGTATTGAAAATTAATGGGATAAGCATGATATCACAATGATATGGCAACAAATACCAAGCACATCAACATTTGATGAATAAATAACCATTCAGTACCCAAATAATGATTCTTAATTTAAAAAAGGAGAAAATTGTTTTTAAATATTATAGATCCGGGGCAGAGAACAGATCATAACAAAAAGAGATTCCTATTAGCAGGAGTTGTTCCCAAAAGTATCAGCATATTAGAATCACTTGGGGATATTTTAAAACTTCCCAATTAAATCACAATTTCTAGTGGTAGGACCAAGGAATCAGTAGTTTTGAAGCCCCACAGATGATTCCACAGTGCAAATAATTTGAGAGGAAAATTTTTTAAAGTAAACTATCACATTGTTATTGAGACAAAGTTGTCCCATCTACAATTTGCTTGGCTCTTTTCTATGAAAATGGAACAACTATTCAATTTTGTACAATTTTGAAAGCTTGTAAAGTTTTAAAGTTTTGATGATTTGCAAGAAATAATTGAAGCTATTTTTCTGGCAGTAACATACAAGCTCAGCACTCCCCACGCTGTTCTCTGGAACAGTGCTCTTCCAAACGCTGCCAGTCTGAGAGGTCTGGGTCTGTGGTCTCTGTGCTCTAGACACTCAGGAGTGTCCTGATTCATGTGAGCATGTAAAAACAGTTCTGAGATGTCTAGGAACAAAGAACACTTGAGTCTCTTTTTTTAAACTCAGTATTTTAAAAATATATTTGAGGAAAATAAAAAAAATCCATTGAGCTCATTTATTCTAGTATTAAATACCAGGAATAGGCATAGGATCCATTAAGTGCTCTCCAGCCCAGGCCCCTTCCTCAGACTGCAGGCTGCCTATTTATAACCTTAGCAAATATCTTAAGGCTTACAAGTTCAAAGCTAAGCTCTGCTTACACAGCCCCCCTGACTCCAACTAGATTTTTTGCCTCTTATTTTACAGATGCTTCAGACATGCCAGCCCCTTTTCTAAGGGCTTCATACATGGTC